TAAAGGGCCCCAGCCCCCACTGCCCCACAGCTGGAGTGGGCACAGCACTCCCCCCAGGCCCCCGTCCCCTGCTCGGTGCACACTCAGCAACCCCCACGTGGGAGAAAATCCCACCAGCTGCAGCGCCCCCCCCCGCCCCCCGGCATTGCAGGCCTGGGGATCAGCCCCCACCTCGTGCCAGCAGCTCCAGGTGCACTGCAGCCTCTGAGCGCCCCCAGTCTGCACCCCGCAGGGATCCCCTCCCAGCACCAGAGCCCACGGCTGGGGCACTGGGACAGGGGCTGGCTCAATACGAGGCCCCATGGACAGCTGCACGAGGGGGAGGGGCCTGGCCAGGTGCACTCTGGGGGGCTGGCTCCGAGCCCACCCCCCCCCTTGCCATGGGTCCCAGCTCCCACAGGGCAGGGGACAGGCTGTCTGGGACCCCAGCCCCAAGGGGTGCATGGCCCATAGGAAGCAGGTGGCCTTACCTGCCTGTGTAAGGGAGGGGGGAGCAGCAGGCATGAGGCTATGCAGTGACGTGCTGAGCCTCCCGCAGGCCCAGAACCCAGGAGTCCTGGTGCCCCTAGGCCCTGCCTCTGCCCCGTGGCTGGAGTTACACGCTCCCGTGAAGGGCTCCAGGAGAGGGGCTGGCCAGAGGAATCCTGAGAGCCCGTGAGGGAGTTTTCATGGCTGCTGCCAGGGCGTGAGGCAGGTGCCAGTGGGGGGCGGGGGGGGCTGGCCGATGCAGGTTCGTGACTTTACAGAGAAAGTTCCTGGTGCTATGATGCTCCCCCCTCCTGTGCTGGCTGCAGAGCTCAGCACCCCACTGCCACCCGACAAGGGGCCAGGTCCCAAGAGCACGTGAGGGGCGACCCTTCAGAAAAATCCTCCTTAACCCTTCGTGGTCTCCAATACACCATGCACAAGGAGCAGAGGTGGGGCCCTTCTCTCACTCCTGGTCTGCCTTTAAGGTCCCGCACCTGGGAACAGGACGGTTCTCGCACACCCAGGATCTGAGCTGGGCCTTCGCAAGAGGTGCGCATGGCCCTCTCCGCTCCGCACAGCAGCCCCTCACACAGCTCAGAGCTGCTGCCTCTGCAGGGCCGCTGCTCTGGGCCCTCATCATCCCTGACTCGGCAAACGCCAGCCAGCCCGAGAACGGGTGAGGCTGTGAAAACGGGTAACCCAGGGCAACCCACCTGGGTTGAGGACTACGAGCCACCCTTAGCAAGTCCTAGGGCACTTGCCCTTCGATGAGGGGCACTCGCCCTTGGGTCCCCACCTCATGTTACACCCCCCAAGCCAGGCCTGCTGGTCACCGTCCCCAGCACAGACCGGAAGGGGCAGCAGCCAACAACCCCAGCACACAACGGGTTCGCTGATGCCTGCAATCCCCTCTGCAGCATTTGCACACAGCCAGCAGAGCTCCCCGCAGCACCTGGTGCCCCAGCTCCTGGCGCCGTTACACGGTGCCCAGCCCTGCCCCTGAGCGAGAACGGGCTCCCTCGGCCCTGGAACGCAGTCAGGGCCCCAGGAGAAAACCCTGCCAGCGGCCGGGGAGGACACAGGCAACAGCCAAGGGCGCACCAGACTCTGCCCATTGGTTCAGTGTGCAGGAGCCACCCGCTCCCTGCAGCCCCCCAGCCAGCAAACCCACTCAGCAGCATGGCACAGGGGTGCCAAAATCACAGGGACCCTTTCCCACCCAAGGGGCCCCCTGCTCTCAGGTGGCAGGGGGACAGATCTAGAGAGGGCAGAGTCCAGGGGAAAAGATGGACACATCCCAGAAAAACACAGGGGGTTTCCATTTCTTCTAAGGCCGAGTATGGAAACCTTGGAAATTTGGGGAAAAAGTGAAAAGAAACTTGTGTGAAATGTTCTCTCCGGAGGAGCCGTGAAAGAGGGAGGAAAGACGGCGAAACTCGAGCTACGCCAGCACTTCCAAGAGCACTTCAGTAACTGCTGCAGTTACACTGGGCTGTCCGGTGGTGAGGTCTGTCTAGAACGACAGCACACAGGGCGGACCGTGCACCGTTAAAGAGGCCGGGGTGGCTCTATACTCAACTTGCCTGCTGTTCCTTACTCGTGTGCTCTGGGATCTGGGTATGGGGATATTCCTTCTCTAGAACCACCACTTCCTTCTGGGGCTGCAGGATGATGGCAGGGCGGGTCTATTTCCATACTCGTGCTGAGCCCACAGGCTGTGACCTTCCCCGCTGTTGACACCAATATTGATGTTTTCTATTTTCAACATCTCCGATTTTTTTCTCATTCGCCATCGGGCAAAAACAAATCCACCTGACTGTGCAGCTGCGGCTCCCCCCGAACACGAGCCGCACGCGACATCGTTACTCCATCAAAGCGAAAGAATTTATACTTATTTCCTAAATCTACCAAGCAACGCTGGGGGCTCCCTCCATTCTACACCCTACACTGCTCGTTCTTAAAGAGCAAATCACGTTTAGTTTTGACAAACAAGTAACTACGGCAGATATTTCAATTTTTCCCAAAATTTCCAATAAAAAAACCCCACCCAAAACCCTGAACCTGTTTTCTCCATCCCTTCACCGTTCCTGGAGACATCCTGGCAGGCCGGGCTGCAGGAGTACAGCCGGAGGGGGGGAGCTCAGAGGCAGGTGGGAATGCCATGAAAGCCAACGAGCAGGAAGTCAGCGACAC